GGGCAGGGGTTTAGAAGGGTGAGGGTGATGGGGGTTGGGATGTTGAGGGTTTTGGGGGCGGGGGTGTCGGCGGCAATTCAAGCGCAGTTTCCTGCAGCAAGGCGACAGCTGCCCAACTCAATGTGACCACTTTCGCGTCACCTCTCTGCTCCTGCGCCCCGCGGCTGCCTCACACCCCCGCCTGCCCCCCCCCCCAGGAAGGAGATGCTGTGGCCCTATGTGCGTGAGTTTGCGGACAACGCCATGGCGCACGTCACCGCCACCATGGCGGCCCTGGCCGCGGCCGGGGAGACGTGCGAGCTCTACGACATCCACGGTGGGGGGTGGTGGGGGCGCGCGCGCGCGTGTGTGTGTTTGTGTTTGCATTTGTGTTTGCATTTGTGTGTATGTGTGTTTGCATGGGCCTGTGTGTGAGCGCGACAGTGACAGTGTGTGCGTGCGCGCGCGCGCGAGAGAGAGAGAGAGAGAGAGAGAGAGAGTGTGTGTGTGTGTGTGTGTGTGCGTCAGTGTGTGATTGTGTACCCCTCCTCAACCCGCCCGCCTGCCCAAGTCGCCTGCCTCCGTTCAGCACCTGCTCACCCCGCACCCCTGCCCCGTCCCTCGCCCCCATGTGCCCCCAGGCCACTACGCGGACGCGGGCGAGGCGGCCGCCCTCATGAGCTTCACCCTGGGGTCAGACATGGTGCTGACGGGGCACAGCCTGGGCCGCAACAAGCTGGACCACCTGCTCAAGAGCCGTGAGTGGAGGCATCCTGTTTATATAGCGATGGCGGAGTGCTGAGCTAGGGCATCAACGCCGCGGAGGGTGCCACCACGGGTTTTGGAGGGCGGGTGGGCGCGTCTGTTGCTGTCGCGGCCTTCCCATATTGGTGGGTGGGATGGTGCACCTGACCTTGCTGATGTCACTCGCACGCACCCATGGTCTATTCTGACACTTCCCGTCATGCCTGGGCCCCTCCCCGCAGGCACCATGGCGCGCCGCGAGATCGAGGCGGTGTACGCCATGTCGCGCCGCATCGAGGTGCGTGCATCGTGCGCCCGTATGTGTGCGTTGCGCGTTATTGCATACAATGACAAGGTGACCCAACTGAGGCCGACGCTCCGAGCAGCAGTAAGCCCGCCCTGGTGTCTACTGGACTTCTGCAATCATTTCTGGGGGGGGGGATGCTACATCCGCGCCCACCCCATGCGTCGGGCGGCAGCGGGCCGGTCCGATCGTCTCCCCCTCTGCCTCTTTTAACCCTTCCCCGCAACACCACCCCCTCGCGCACGCAGGGTGAGGAGCGCGCCATTGACGCGGCCCTCATGGTGTTCACCTCCACCCACCAGGAGGTCAAGGACCAGTGGGGCCTCTATGACGGGTGAGAGGGCAAGTGGGCCGCGGCCGGTGGGGAGGGGGGGGAGGCGGGTGGCTGCATACTCTCTGGGGGGGTATTGGGGCAGGCATGCTCCTGCCTGGAGGGGCAGCGGTGCAGGGGATACTCGACTGCGTGCCATCCTGGCATGTGAGGTTGGGGATTAGTAGTGTGCTGCGCCGCAGAGGAGATTGCAGCCGAGTGCAGCGATCGGCCCCGGAGCATGCAAATCACCAACCCTCACAACGCACCCCCTTTCGGCGCGCCCCATCCCGATCACCGCCAACGCCAAGGTATGACCCGGCGCTGGAGCGCATCCTGCGGGCGCGGCCCCGCCGCGGCCGCCACTTCCCCGTGATGAACGTCATCCCCCCAGGCCTGGACTTCTCAAACCTCAAGGTGGGCCCGGCTCATCCCATTTCAACCAGACCTGATGTGCCTGTCCCCCAGGACTGCTGGGGGGGGGGTTGTCGGCGCAGCTCAAGGCCTGGATAGGGCAGTGCGGAACCAGGCGCTGGCTGCGCCCTGGGCGTCCGACGCCGGTTCAGCGCTGCTGCGCCGATGGCTGTGGCGCCGGCAGCCGCGGACGAGAAACGGTGTGCATTGTGGAGGGCAATGCACAGAGCGGGGTGCACTGCAGCGCGTCACGCCCCCAGTCCATGCCTCGCTGCTTACTTCACCCCACCATCTGGTGTGAATATGTGTGTTGATCATCACCCCCCCCCCAGGTGGCTTGCCCCCCTGACCCTTGGGAGCAGCTCGCCGCCGCCCAGCAGCAGCAGGCCCTCGCCGCCAGCGGCAGCTTCAGCAGCCTCTCCATCGCCGCCAGCCCCCGCGCGCCGCGCAGCCGCCGCACCAGCATGCTGAGCGCCGGCGGGTCCGTGGGTGCCCTGGCCGCGGTGGCGGAGGGGTCGAGCAGCTTCTCGGCGGCTGCAGGGCAGGACGAGTTCGCGACGACGCCGGGTGAGTCGCGCCCCAAGGCTTAAGAGCTTCCTGCCGAGCCACATTGCACCCTCCTAGTGTCAGTTTTTTTGTGGAGGACGTGTGGCGTGGCAGGAATAAAAATAAAGCCTCTGTTCTCGGAAAGCTGGCGTCGTCGCAGTCCGCTGATCGGACTCAGCCGCCGCTGCGCGGGCCGCGCTTGCACCTTGCCTGCGGTGCGTGGCCTAGTCCGGCCGCGGGTGCTGCCCC